ATACTTTAAGTACCAAAAGTAAAAGTAATCAGTATGGAGAATGGCCCATTTAGGCACTACACTGTTGTACAATTATGATTGATGCATTAATGTCTTCATCACTTCAATTTTGCACTTGGTAAAGTGTTGCTTATTTGAAATACTTGATATACTTCTTGAACGCTTAACCCATATTAATATATAATAATGTATAAGTTGATTTATATTTTGTTTTGATAATCTAAATCTGCAAAGTAACGAGTAAAAAGTGCAACATGTGACTACAAATGTAGTGGTGTAAAGTAGCATAATGTGATAATACTCTGTGAAACCTGTCTCAATTCTTTTTACTGTAGTACTTTATACAGTACAGTACATTCCACCACTGCAATAAAGTAAAATTAGTATATAAGTTCATGCAACTCTTACACATTTTAATATATTTAGTTTTATATGTGGTTATGTGCAGACTTATTTCAACATTATTCATTCCTAAAGTGTGCTTGAGAAATGATGCCAATATTTTTCAAGTTTTACCTAAGTAACAGTTGTTGGTCTTTGCGTGTGAATCAGTTGTGCTTTACCAATTTGGGAGAAGAGGGAGGCAACTGAAGATATCTTTTGTATGCTTTTTGCATTGTAAAGAACTGACTGGAAGTCAATCGTAAGGAAACTATTGTGAAAGCATGAGTTGGGAAGATGAAATTTGTCCTCAGGCACCGCTCTGTTCTGGGGAACAGTTTAGAACAAAAGAAGGCAATAAAAAGGAAGAGAGATGTTGCCGCCTAATTAGAGCATTAAGGAGCCATTTTGTTCGCTTGGAGCTCCTTCAATTTCACGGCGCTCCGATAAGAGAGCAGAAAATATTGGGTAGCAGTAGGTTTACTACCAGGGGACCACCGCAGCACAAGTGGAGCACCTTTTTAATTGGCTCTTTGTCTTGGATTCTACTTTTAGTAAAAGGTTTCAGAACGTCTCTCTTCAAGTTTTAAAAGGAATAATAACCATGCTGTTTCTAGTGGATTGTCAAGCAGTGTGTTCATTCTTCCTTTTTGTACACTGTTATCTTTAGATGAGGAATTAAAGTGTGTCTGATGCAGCACCTATGTACACCTCCATAGACAATGAGTTAGATAATGTGGTAAATGAAGTTTTAAAGCATCAAAGGGCTACATCCTCACACATCATAAAGCATTTGTTTTTAAGGAGGCAGAGGCATGTGTCTTCCGATGTGGGCATCAGATGAGAAAATACTTGTATATGTCGTTTTACAGGGTACGGACAAGCACATTTTGTCATTTGATTTGTCGCTCAGTGTTGAACTTGAATCATTCCAGGTCAAGGGCCTCCGACAGACATACTTGTGTACAAAAGGAATCAGCATTTGGAGGTCAGACTTTAATAATGTGATACTTACCAACTCTCATCTCATCAACTTTTCATTATTTATTTTTTATTTGATCCATATGTTCAGCCACTTTTCTTTACAGAAACTGACATCAAGACAAAGCCAAAGTCTCACTTGTAAAATATATATTTTTTATTTCTTATTTCTCACACTAGTGTTGGCCTTGTTTCTTTGGTCCTCTGACCTGGCAGTGCAGCTCACTTAGACGTTCAGCATCAGGGAACATGTGACTCTTGCCCTCAATGTGCAGACCACGCAGGAGTGGCTGATGTGCTATTAGAGGTGTCAACGGGGCAGCATTATGTCAATGTCAAGCTGTGCTCTTCCATAGCTCAAGACGAGGTCCTGTCAGCCACAAATTACCCCCCAGAGTCATCATCGAGGTGTCAGTCTTTACAAATGAGCTCTGCAGAGCCAGCCTGGCCCCGACACAATCTGGGATCACCTCTATGTATTGCTAAGTGCACATATAAGGACATATAATGAAAAGTAGATTACTCCTATGAAAGCCTTGGGACGGAGGCTGGGACTTTATCTTGTGTTTCTCCGCCTCATTGGATCCTTGTTAACGTGAGGATGGACTGGAGAAAAATGATGAAAACATATTTATCTAAACTTTATTTCTAAAAACAGGAGAGGAGAAAGGGGACTGTGGAGATGACTTGAGAAAAAGCACACAAAAGGAGACAAACAAAAAGAGTAAATTGTGAATCAATAGTTTGTGTAAATAAAAGGAATCAATTATTCTCCCTTGAATCATGTGTTTGTATTCAGTTCAATACGACTGATATTGGAGTAGGGCTGGGAGATACGTAGAAAATCAAATATCACAATATTTTAAAGAAAATATATTGATGTTGATATTGTGAGAATATAGTGGATTCTTAATGGGATTGACTATTGGTGCTTTTACAAGATATATTTAAAGAATCAGATTTTTGTTTATTAGTTATAACAGCTAAAACAGTATGGTTATTTTAGAAAAAAATAATAATTCTAGTAAAATAAACCAAGGAAAGACTGCACATGTCATATTATTATTTCCTCCTAAATATAACACACTATCAATTCAATATTAATATGTTGTCCAGCCCCATATTGACATGTGCTTGAAATTCAGGTCCTTGTCTTTTAAATATTCCAATTAAACATTTTAGAGAGACTTCTCGACTGTTGACATTATTAGTTGATGAAACAATAAGCCTGTTCATATCACTACATACAGTACAACATCATTTTTTGTTAGTCAGTTGCTGGAAATAATTTCTTGAAAAAACAACAGAGATTTGAATATGTTTTTTCATTCACCATCAAGAAACTGATAATGGAAATAGTTTATGACAATTTACAGCCAAAAGGATTAGATCTTTCAATTAAAACATTTAATCAAGGGGTCAGTAATCCAAATAATTACTCCAATGTTAATAAGAGGGGTATTTTTTAGAGTTGATCTACTATTAACCAGTTTAAGTCCGAATGGAAGAAGATATAATTCATTGTTATTTACAGTACTGATTGGACCAACAATGTCTAGTTAATGACTTCAACTTTATACAAACATTGATAATAAACATCTAGAGTCAACCTCATCTAGCATTGATTTTCAGACTGAAATACTAAAGGACTACAGTATGTGGAGCTTTTTCCGCAGTGCATCAAAACTGTTTTCTACTTTTTCCTTTGATTTGTGTAACCATTGACGTCAAAAGCCACGTGCCTATATGCCACCACGGTGACCACATCAGGTTGCAATGAGAAACCAGGGAGCTATCACAAGTTGCAATGACTCTTACCTTCAGACAAGGCCCTGTTGATTCTGCCTTCTGGATTTTTTTTGGGCACCAGACTAACTCCAGTATTGATTAAGCCTTTTATTTCTTCACAAAAGAGTGGAAATGTTTTTTTGACAAGAAGCCATTCGAGGAAACACGTGTCGTTGTATAAAAGCATGCTCGACAGCCTAGTACCTCTTTTCCCATTACACAGCTGACATTTGAAGTCCTGTTGGCCCATGATCAAACTCCAGGGTAACGCTTCATCATACTATTGAGAGGCCCTCCTGTCAGAAAGTCATTAGTACAGTAAGTGGGCTCATTCAACACTATGAGCTTTTTCTGAACCATTCTTGTGATTTGAAACCTTGAGAATTCCTCCTTTGAAATGATTGAAAGCAATTATATGCTCAGGATAGTAGATGGGTTGGAGATGGGGCCACTAACATTTGATTTGGAGACTACTTTGAAGTAAAACGAGGAACCATTGCTGTTACATTAGGGTGTGTATTGGGACATTTGTGAATTGAGTGTGTCTCTCCCTTCCCTCCTTCCTCTCTCTACTGTATATAAATGATTCAGAGTGTTATAGAAGACTAAGACTCTCTGTCTTAAATTGAAATAAAGTCTCTGCTTTAATCTTGCAGTCCACAGCACACTGTGGTACTGAGGTTACACGAGGATCAGATCAGTCACTGGAGCTCTGTTAGTCCTGTAATAAAAATGTAATAGAAGGATATAAAGCCACGGAATTACAAAGATCAAAAAATCTTTGCAGGGTTTATTCAATACTTTGGAGCCCGTCTGAGTGGGTGTATTTGCAAGTGTACATGGAGAAGTAGATTATGTTTTGAATCAATTGAGTAAACATATTTCCAGAGCCTACGCATACAAGGTTCATCAGTCAAAATCCAAATAATTTTGAAATGTGATAATACAAAGAAAATTAGAAAAACACTGTCATCCACAATTCTTTAGCATTTTTTATATATTTTTAGATGTTTTCACTCCTCTGCTCAGCAACAGACTTTCACTGCTTCGGCTTAATGATGTGCATGAAACATGTGTCCAGATAGTGATTATCAAACTTCCATCACAGCCCACACTCTGCTCCGCTCTGAGCTTTTCCTTTCACATTCCCCACAGATTTACACTGATTGATCTCTTGACAACTGAAGAAACATCTGAAGTGTTGCTGTTTTTCTTCAGCATTGTTTTGATTAATTACCACAGTGTAAAGAAATCTGTGTTATTGATCGATCACTGCTATTTGGTGGGCTGGCTCAGCCTCTCATCTCTGGATCAGTGTAGTTCCTCTGTGAAGGTCTGAAAAAGGGCTATATTGAAATAGAATAAAAGGTTTTTGAGATGGAAATTGTGTACCTTTATTTAATAATAGTGTAATTGTTTACTTCTCTTAATAATTTGCTTTAAGAAACAAACCCTCAAATTGATTGAGCCAACACATCATTAAGTACCTTAAAACTGATGGAAATTTGCAGACTTCAAACAATAACTTACAATTAGGATATCCAACACACCTATCAATTGTGACACCAAATGATGGCTTTGTACTGTACAAAGTGTATTTAAAGCTTGCTGGCCTATCACAGTCTGTTGCCCCCTGGGTTAGGGTTAACCCCTAAACCATAACCCTTTATTCAATATTTGAAGCAAACAGCACTCACACTTGATTTCCCCAGCTCAAAGAGTCAACAAAGCTTTGCGACTTCAAGTGTAGTGGCTTGTGTTTGAGGAATTGTTGGCCTGGGGAAAATGTTTGTATACACTGCACTGCATCTTCTCTAACCCTAACCCTATCTTCCTCCCCTCCTGCCCAGGTCCACCTGTTGAAGGACCAGCTGAGTGCGGAGGCCACGGCTCGGCTGGAGGCCCAGGCCCGGGTCCACCAGCTGCTGCTGCAGAACAAAGACCTGCTGCAGCACATCTCCCTGCTGGTTAAACAGATCCAGGAGATAGAGACCAAGATGGCCGGACCAAACTCCAGTAAGTATATCACTTAAAAAACTCATGCACGTACACATTGAAGGCTGGATTAGCAATGGCAGGACAACAAATATAGAAATGTTTCATTTTACACCACCGCCTATGTCAACAAACTGACACTGTCAGGTGTAATCCTTGCATGTTTCAAGAGCAAACCTCCAGCTACACACACACCCATACTAACCATGACCTTCACCATGATAGAGCAACTATATGGATTCAGACATACAGGCTTCTACGTGCAAAATGCAACATTAAGTCTACTGAGTAGGGTTATTCTCCTGTTTATTATGCTCCTCACATGTTCTGTTCACTGTTACAATCTGTCTTCACCGTCTCTCCCCACAGCTTCACACATTTATAAACCTTTCTTATTGGCTATTCAGAAAGGGAGAATCTTCTCTGCAGTTCAGCCTGCCCTCCAATTGTCACCTAGCAAGAAGCAATCTGTTATCTTATCAGCCAACATTTCACAAATCCAGCGGGGAAAATATGAGTCACTGCCACCTCTGCATGCTGGACATTTGTAATGAACACGATAGAATATACGATGAAATCTCAAGACCTTCGTAATGAAATGCAAGATAAAACCCTTGCTCATTTAAAAAAAAGTATATATCTGTTAACATCAGTTATTGCTGCAATTCGTCCGTAGCATGAGATTGTAAATGCTAGCTCACCAGCATGTCTTATTGACCTTTATTAATATTATTAGTTACACCCAGAGGTGGGAGAAGTACTCAGATCTTGTACTTGAGTAAAAGTAGAAGTACCAGAGTGTAGGAATACTCGGTTACAAGTAAAAGTCCCGCAGTCAAAATGTTACTCAAGGAAAAGTACAAAAGTATTAGGATCAAAATGTACTTTAAGTACCAAAAGTAGAGTACTCATTCTGCAGATTGGCCCATTTCAGAATAATATAAATCTAATGTTTGATTATTAATATTGATCATTAAAGTGTTCTCAAAGCTGGTAAAGGTGCAGCTAGTTTTAATGACTTTGTATACTGCAGGGTAGCTTGTGAATTTATTCCAGGTGTAACTAAAGTCTGATTTAAGAGTTGATTATATTTCACAGCATTAATCCAAATCTGTAAAGTAACTGAAGGTATTACATACATTTAGTTAGAGTTAGAGTAGAAGTACAAAGTAGCATAAAATTAAATGTACTCAAGTAAAGTACTAGTACCTCAAAAGTATACTTAAGTACAGTACTTGAGTAAATGTACTTAGTTACTTTACACCACTGGTTACACCTTTCCCTTTCCTTCAATCACAATGTCCACCAAGAGAAAAAAGGTCAATTTCACAGCATGAAACTTGTTCTGGCTGAAGATGAGAAACGGTGGGGATCCCTTGCTGATGGTTAAAGCCCAGTGTATTGCTTGAATAGAAAACCTTTTGAAGGAATACCATAAAAATATATGTTTTGTGCTCCGAGATGTGGTTAAATCCATTATGTGGGTATTGCGTCCAATGAGCCATTAAACACTTGAATCTGTTACTCCAGCTTGACTTCCTGGATCATATTTCCTTCTCTCACCGGTACCCTAAACAATGCACCCCCACCAACGCAGCCCCCCCCAAGCTGCTTTCAGTTTCAAATCACCCACTAACTTTGTAATGTATCTTTTAATTAGTTTTCTCTCTCACTCGCTCTTTCAACCTGACTGTAGACTTTCACGCTCCATGTGTGTCTGACAAAACAGTGCCACAGATTTTACTCCAGCTGTTCCCAGACTTTACATTTCAGTCGCACACCAGAGAGGAGGCACATAATACAGCAGGAGAAGGTTTGAGAAGTTTCTATGGATATTTATGGGCCTGGTAACTGCTGTGAATCCAAACTGACTGCCGCTGTCAGCCTGCACAAAGAAACAAACAACAAACATTTCAGAATCATCTTTCATGCTTACTAGGAGATGGATGCAGTATTTCTTAATGTATCTTTCTGTCAGTTTTTAAGCTCCAGGTCTGTGTTCATAAAGAAGAAAGCGTGTGAGCTGCCTGCGTAATGATGAAATGCTTAGAAATATGTTTTTTTATGCTTTACAAAATGCATTTATTTGTCACTGAATGATTGATTTTGTTAGAGTTTTCAAGGAGCTGCTATCGGCCACAACTTACAGATATGTTATTCTTCCGCCATGATCCAACAGGAAGAGCAATAGCAGATGACTTTAAATCATGGTGCAGTAGTATAAAATATTGTATCCGTCCTCTAGTCCTTGTCTCTACCTCCCTTTGCTCATTCTTCACTTTTCTTTTCCCTCCTCCTCTCCAGTGGGATCTCAGGACAGTCTGCTGGAGATCACTTTCCGATCGATGGTGCCTCAGGTGATGTGCGACGCCACGACGCCCAAACCTGATGTGTCCATGCTCAACCTCCCCGGGCTGGGCTCCACTGACGGGAACGCCTTCACTTCTTCCAACGGGACTCTGGGAAGCCCCCTAGGTAGGGACAAGTGTCTTCTCAAACTGGATCGTTTCCGTTTCCTCCCTGGGCCTCCGCCTCCTCAACTCCCCTCACCTCCCTCGCTGCTCAAAGCCGACAGGCCGGAGAGAAAAGTCCAAGAGGAGTCTAAGGGCACGTTGTCCCGTGACATCCAATCTCTGAGCTGCCTGGACTTTGCCGCGAAGTTTCGCGAGTCGGGCATCGCCTCGGATTACGAGTCAAATACGGACGACAGTGACAGCAATGAGGACGAGGGGGAGGATGATGAGGAGGGGATGGAGATCTTTGGCTGGGGGAGGGACGAGGAGACGCTGAGGCTGCTCAATGTTCTCAACAGTCAGGGAACTCCTGACTGTCTGGGAGATGAAATAGCGGTGTAACGCACTAACCTGCCCCCCTGAGGAACCATTGGTCTTGACCTTTATTCTGTCTCAAACTACCCTGTACGATTCACCATGTGGCAAACTAACCTCCGTCAGACAGGCACAGTTATATAAACAGTACTTGCACCATTATATTGGTGTGATGAGTTGCATAAGAGAGAGGAAAGACTCAAATAAATAAAGGTGAATTCACTGTAGGACAACAGTAGGCTTAGTTGGCTATCATAGGTATCCTGAACATATCAACCACTCAGGCATGGGAACAATAAACATTTAATCTCACCAGACAAAAAGCAATCTTATTTATTTTAACAGAGATTTGGTGACAGAATACTAATCGCGTTAAATAATAGAATTGTTCCGTTGCTCACTGACTGGGCTGCTATGCGTTCTTTGATGCCTGTAGTGGTCAAATATTTATTTAACAATTTATTTTACTGGATTATTTGCTAGGACCTACCTTTCCTCTAGTGCAGGGGTGTCAAACTCAATTTCATCGCGGGCCACATTCGCATAAAGGTTGTACTCAAAGGGCCGGTTGTAACTATATAAATATATATATATATATATAAAATAATGTATTATATTACGTTATTGCCTCTGAATTGGATTATTATCGGATAGGATAATAACTTAGTAATTAATTACGTCTGATAGCAGAAGTCCAGGGCAAATAATTGCAAGTCTCTTCAGTGCGCATGTCACAAAACGAGATGCATTGTGGGACATGTAGTTTATGGGCAACCTGCTTCTGTAAAGTGGTATGTAACCGTATAATAAATATATTCTTTGCAAGCTCTTGCGGGGCCACATAAAAGGAAGCCGCGGGCCGGATTTGGCCCCCGGGCCTTGAGTTTGAAACCCCTGCTGTAGTGTGTCTGTTTTGACATACTCCTCGTAAAAAATATATATTTTGTATTTATTAAGTTATTTATTTACTATTATTACTCTGTCGTAGTTGTGTCAGGAATGTGTTAAAGTTAGTCCAAGCTGTCAAACCTACCGGCATATTTCTGCAATTTTCTCTGTTGTGTCTTTGCTTAAATATCTCCTTCATTTTTCACACCTGTAATACATGTCTCCAGGGGCAACTGTGTGGATCTAATCTCTAATCTATATGCATACTCATGCATACACACTTATTCTTTAAAATCTTGATTCCTTTCTTTTCTTCAGCCTTTTCTCTGTATTACACTTACACAGTTTGTATCCATAAATCAAACTCCCAAAGTCTCCTCCCAGCTCTCTGTTGCTGAATTTAAATTCTGAGGTTACGAGTCTTCATTAAACAAATGGTGACTGTAAGTCTTACCATGAAGATGTCAGGATGTAAACATGAAATCAAACCATAAGTGAATGTGAGTTCATGGTCAAGCCTTCAGTTTGTCAGGCCTGGGAGCGTATCTGTCAGAAAGAAGAGGACAGGGTTTGCGAACGGAGAGACGGATGAGCTTGTGTCCTCGCTGGAGTGAAAAGTGACTCTTCCGTCGAGTAAAGATGAACACTTCAGCCAAATTCTGGGATGAACTTTATCACTGTCTCCATGTTTGGAGAGGGAGAGTCCTTTCTTGAGCTCTTAATTCAAAGACTATTTTTCGACAAAATTCTGGATCTGTACTGTATGTACGAACTTTTTTTTTCTACGTCACCCTGCAGACTTGCTTCGTCCTTGACTCCTGCACACCGCCCTCTTTTTGTCTCCTCGCAGTCTGTAGACTTGGTAGTCGGAGCATGTTTGCGCTCTTTTCACTGGTCCACACATTTCCCCCCCGGCTTTTTAATTTATGTAAAGCCAGGATTAGTTGGACCTCGAGGAACGCTATTTGTTTCTTGTATTCATCCCGTAAACAAAAACACTTCCCTCGTGCCAGAACAGCAGCTAACGGATGACAGCCAAAAGATCTCATTTGTTTTTAACCCAGCTCTGTGTATGGCCTCCAAGCACAATGCAGTATTAAAGTGTTCATTTTGTTTCAAAGCCACAGAGTTTTCTTTCGGCCAGTTTATCACAGCAGTCCTGTCAAACGGGTGCAGACAGACCGCTGTTTGGCAAAGGTACATGCTGCAGAGATATAAAGGGGAATCAGGCTAGTTCTCGAAGGGCTTGCTATCTTTTATAAAGAGCTTTAGCCTGATAGGATTAAACCAATCTAGTGAGAGTCCGGTAAACCAACTCCCAATTAGCCACTCCGTTTCTGGACATGCTTGCTTAAAGGATAACAGAGATTCAATCTGAGTTGTTGTTTTTCTAAAAGTTTGTCTGGAAATCTGTACCAACTTTTCTAAATCAGTCTCAGTCAAGAGTTTTGTGGTCAATGGGTTTATCATCTATATTACGAGACATATGAGGGCTATTTAAGGATACATTTATTCGAAGGTTGATGTGTCCGAAATGTGGATCTTAAATTAATCCGTGGAAAAGGTTCCCCCAGAGAGCATAAATGAATTACAATAAAAAATGAGAAAGGACTTAATCTGAAAGGGACCCGAGAATAACGACACAGGATCCAAAATGCAGGCAGAATACCAACATGGATATTAACCTGGAGCTCCACAAACTAACAACCAGACTTCAAAAAGAGTGGAAACGCATCCAAAGATCCATCACCTGCATTGCACCATCCCATTAGAGTTTCAAATTTGCTTTGATCAGACCTCAGACCTGCTGAAGTAGACGAAAACCTACTATACACTGATGAAATATTTGATTCGTCCTGACTCCTTCTTATTATGGACTTTATAACAGAATTTACTGGAAATTAATGGAGACAGGTGGATAATGGATTACATTTTCAACTTTGAGGGTTTTCTTTTCATCTCAAACACTCAAAAATCCCCCACATTGACATTTGTTGCACTCTACGCTTTCTCTCTTTCTGTGGCCATCAGAAGGTATTTGTTAGTTTCCATGAAGTGCTCGCTTCTCTTTTGACCCGGATGACAGGAAACACAAAGATCAGACGAGTGTGTGTCAGAGCGAAGGATGTTTTCTCTTTGAAACGCTCTCATCCACATTGTCTCTATTCTTAATATCTACCCTTTTCCCTCTTTTATTTTCTCTTATTTCTTTTCCTTTAATGTTTTTAATATAACATAGTAATCATCTCTATGGCATTACCGTGACTATGTTTAAAGAGGCAGGTGTGTCAGTTTACGATTAGGGAAAAAATAAGAAAGTAGTTCAGGGCGACATAATTAAACAGATTTTTCATCCTTAACCGGCATCTTTGAACTTTACAAAATGCATTAAATCAATTTCCAGCAACTGATGTATTCAACATCAGATAATATGTAAATCAAAAATGTAATAAAACAGCTCTCGATTTTGTCCAAAAAAGATGGCCTGTTGTGATGAATCGGCAGTTAAACATATCACAAAGGTGATATTGTAATAACCTTTTTAAAAGTCTCTCGATTTAATGGCAGAATGTGTAGCATTCTTACATTATCAGGTAAGAAATTACTAATATCAGGCTTAATCACAATTTTGACTTATGCAGAGAGAGGTTACCCTGAAACCTAGACAAGGGCGTGACTGGAGAATGGCATTATAAAAGAGATGATTTGCATGTGCTATCAGTCAGTTTTTTATTGTTATTACTTATGTCCTCCTTCTTCTGACCTCGACCCACAAATGTCACCATTTTAAAAAACAGAGAGAAAGTCTGCGGTTGCTGTTTATCCAAAAATGTTGTTGTCAGCAATGAGTTTAACCGAGGGCATTTCAGAGACGTTACAAGATTGAGGTTGGGGTCAACCTCATTTAAGTAATGGAGTGATTTTAGAATAATTTCTTAATTAACCTAGTCCACATTCAGTTTTTTCGTTTTTCTTAGTCATCACCACATACTGAGGGGCGAGCACCCTGTAAGCTAATTAAAATGTTGCCGGATTTAAATGTGCTGCCACTTGCTGAAACTCATGATCCATCACCTTTTGGAGTCAAATTGGGTGAACCCAAATAATATTTTTGCTTTCAATCCATTAATAAGAAATTGCGGGAAATCATTGAGATAATTCTTTTTTTTTGGGCTTGGTGCTCGTTGTTCCTATTTAACATTTGTGTCCATTACCTTTTAGAATTGTGCGTAAAACCTCAGTTCGGACCAATTGTACAACTGTGTTTAGTCCTTGCCATAAAGAGGTAGTATTTTCCTATTTTTTCTTTTGGGGTTAGTACATAATCATGTCATAGTACCATAATTTGAAAGGCTTTGCATTCTTTGAAAGAGAGATTTTTTTCTTTTCTATAAACCTTCTCACCTTTATGTTCCCAGCCTGCTCTCTAAACTTGTTTATACCCCCTGGGGTAAAAACTCTCTTTATATCATTTATATTTCTCTCACAGGTGTTCCACCTTAACCTTATTCTCCTGTCATCTCTTGAACACAGATCTTCCTCCGACCTCTTCAAAATGTCAGGTGGACTGTATTTCTCTTGTTGCTGATGTATCTATTAGCGATTCCTGCTGTGTAGTGGCCATTATGGTACAGCCCTCGGCCTTTTAGCTTGACAGTGATGCCGAAGGTCTGTAATCCCCATGTGAATGGCCTGTGTTCAGCGTTTTGTTGTGGCATCACACACTGAAGCAGACGGGTCATTTGTGTGGCAGATTTGTTAACGTTTGAAATGTTTAACTCATTCATGCATCCTTAAATAATATCGATTCAGCCTCTAATGAATTTAGTGGATTTATTCACAGCAGCCATATTTGTAGTCCTGGGCTATTGGGTAACAACAAGCAGAGCTCTGTTGCTTTGGGAAATCAATGGGTTTACTCATGTTAATCTGAAAAACCAACCCATTCCTCTAGTTGTTCATACAGTGAGATGATTTAGTATCTGCTTTTGCACTCCAGGTTAGTACAATTTGAAATCCTCTCTTTACATTTTGTAAAGGTCCCATGTCATGGCCATTTCTACTGATCATAATTCCATTGTTGAGGTATAGGCTACTATAATAGATTTATATTGTGCAATTTTCCAAACTCACATTGGTTTCTCATACAGCATCTCTGTGTATACAGGGCTCGACAGTAACGGTTGCCAGGTTGCCATTGGCAACCATTCAGAAAAAATGTCAACCACTTCTTGGCCTTTGGTTGCCATCAGTGGCAACCAGTTTTTGACATAAAGAAATAAGGACAGCAAACAGCTAAATATGCACCCCAAAAGAGATAAATGTTAATTATTTGTTGTATTAAGAGTGATATTTAATTATTGTTGTGACCAGTCGGAACCTGATACTTAAGTTGCACGTGCATTGGTGTGATTACGGAGCCAGAAAGCGATGCACGTTTACTTGCGTGCACGGTGCGCCGTGTGTTTGTTTTACAAAAAATGGCGAAGCAAATTAAGTTGTTTGACTGGGGTAAAAAGTTTGGCCAACCACTCAACATCTCAAGCGAATGTTCAAAGTGATTCAACTGATGAAGCGTAAGGCAGGGGTGCCCAACCAGTCGATTGCGATCGAGCGGTCGATCGCGGGGAGATTCCCAGTCGATCGCGAGATGTGTCTAAAAATAGAAC